ATTAGATATGGCGTGCATATCATGTAATAACAACACACACGCATTCATTGCTGTTCAACACAGTTTATTTTGAAAGTTAATATGTCCCATCAAACACATTTCCTCCACCAACACAATAGTGTTGTATTATGGATGGTTATTCATTTGTTTATGTCACCGTTTCTGCCGGAGACCTATTTTTTACACCATTTTACCATGGTACTTACATGCGAAAACAGAGTCTTCGGAGAAAAAGACCAGTCGATGTCATAGCTTACAGTGTTACAGATAAAATGAGACCACAAACTAAATTAAAAAGTCCAAGTTATAGTTACTAAAACCTAAACAAAGCTGAGTGTTTTGACCGTCTGCATATCTCTGTCATTGCTATCGATCAGGCACTTCCTTTGTCCCCGAAGTTTGACTAACAGAGAATTTAGCCAATGGCTGCGTGATTTTCATCTTACTGCACACTTTTTGCTGTTACTGGCTGTTACTGGCTCCTAAAACTGTCAATCATCACTCAATGCACCTGCCCCTTGCATTGAGTGCAGGCAGAGCGGCTCGTTTGCAAAAAGTAAACAAAGGAGAATATTTCTGAGGAGAGCTAATACTTACATGACATGGATGAAGCCTTACTTTCAGTTTTTCTAACGGTGAGTAACTTATTGTAGTCATTGCTTGTTGTTTACGTCTCAGGTCTTCTGTGTTTAGCCTGCTTGTGCCTAAAAGTGTAAACTTCTAACCACTAGCCATAATCTTTCAGTAATGTTTGTCATCATCATGCAGTATGTTTGCCATTTATCTGAATGGCTGCTGTTACATCTGTAAGCTAAGCTATGTGTATAAATTAGCATATGTATAAATGGGCATCAGAGTAATTCATGTTTGCTACTTAAGGGGGGGAAACACAATCGTTTACAATAGAATCCTAATTCTGTTTTTCTGTCATGTAGATGAACCTCTGCGCTGGAGTGAAGAATCCTCTGCCAGTGACTGAGAGCAGAACAACAACTCGTACAAGACTTTCTTGTTGCATATGTACTAGACTTATTTTATACAATGTATTACTTGTGCTCAAATAAATCATTCATGCTGTACGTTTCTGCTTATTATTTTACAATTAAAAAATAGTGGAGTGTAAATCCGTCAGTGTGTGTGTGTGTGTGTGTGTGTGGTCATCAGACTGCTTCTCCACAAACAAGGAGAGAGAAAAAAATCACAAGACATTGTCTTAGAAAAAATAATTCCAGAAATTTTATTCTGCATGATATTGGCATCAAATTCAACACATATAATCAGAAGATGTGGGCTTTTGACCTATTACATTTCTGTGTTGATCCAGGACTGATTTCACATATTTATGAAATAATAAAATGTTTAGTCCGGTGCACTTTTTTAATTAATTACTTAAGCAGCCATAACATTTTATTTTCATTTAGAGCATTATAAACACTGGATGATGGATAATAAAGCCCAGAGTGTCTTCTTTCCAATGATACATAAACTGTGAATGTAGACCAAATCATTCAGCAACTGTAAATGTTTTAGCTTTGGGAAGATCATTTTTGAGAAAGTGCCTCTGACGGGGAGGGAGAGAAGGACATCGACATAGCCTCAGAAAACTTTACAGAAATCACATTTTGCATGCTATCGTCATCAAATTTAAAATATAAACTCATGGAATACTTGGCTTTCAAGTCATATTTTGTCTGGGATATTACATTAATGTTTTCCTGTGTTTCTACATAAAAAACACAATTAAACACAATACTTTTTTTTCCTCATGACTTCATAATGTATAACTTTTTCTATTTTTCAACATGCAACTTCTCCTTTGACCACAGTAACGCTCAAAGTGTCTTCTTCTAATGATACATAATTTGTGTTTGTAGCTTACTGGAGTCAATAACTGTTACTATTTAAATTTAGGTAGGTGTAAATCCCCAAAATTGAGTGCTGGCTAACAGGTTTAAATAAGCTACAGGTGGGATGTTTTTCTTGATCCATGTGCTAAAGCCACAAAACCTCAAAAAAGTGCCAAAGAAACCTATTGAGGTGGATATGCAAGCCCCCCTGGGCCATTTCCAGGTGTCGAAACAATAAAATTCCACTGTCCACGAACAGCCTATTTCATACATTGGGATAGATTGTCTGTGGGATGTCCATATCTCAGCTTCTGGACACAGTAGAGAGCCCAAACCTGCATTTCTGTGCTCGTCTGGACACGCTCTGTCTAGGGTGCAAATTTGAAGAAGATTGGAAAAACTTGAAAATTTGACCCAAAAAAACTCCAAGGGGTACCCCTTATAGATTTTTTGGGTCAAATTTTCGACTTTCTCCAATCTTCTTCAAATTCACAGCATGGACAGGGCATGCCCAGACTAGAACAGAAACGCAGGTTTCAGCTTGCTAGGCCTTGTAGAAGCTGAGATCTGGACATCCCACCGGCAATCTAGCAATCTATTCCATTCATTAAAATAGGTGGTTGCTGGACAGTGGAGTTTTGAGGTTTTACCAGCAGGGGGCAACCCAAGGGAAGGTGGGAACCCACCTCCAAAGGTTTGTTTGGGGATCTGTTGAGGTTTGACCACTTGGGTGGAAGAATTAAGTAAAACTTCCCACTTGTCACTTATTTGACTGGGCCCAGGTAGGCTCTCTGTGGACAGTGCTTTTTTAGGCCACAGAAGTTGTTTGGTGAGATCTAATGGAGGAAAAAATGCTGGGCAAGGATTCCTGACCCCTCTGCTCCCCTTTATGTACTCCAAAATTGTTCCTGCTGTGAATGGTGATCATTTACAGGAGTGTCCACGGACAGCCTACCAAGGCCTGTTCAAATAAGCTGCAGGTGGGATGTTTTTTCCTGATCCATCTGCTAGAGTTGGAAAACCTCAAAAAAGTGCCGAAAAACCTATTGAGGTGGATATGCAAGCCCCTCTGGGCCATTTCCAGGTGTCAAAACGTTGAAATTCCACTGCATACGAACAGCCTATTTCATACATTGGGATAGATTGTCTTTGGGATGTCCATATCTTAGCTTCAGGACACAGTAGAGAGCCCAAACCTGCGTTTCTGTGCTCGTCTGGACACGCTCTGTCTAGGGTGCGAATTTGAAGAAGATTGGAAAAACTTGAAAATTTGACCCAAAAAAACTCCAAGGGGTACCCCTTATAGATTTTTTGGGTCAAATTTTTGACTTTCTCCAATCTTCTTCAAATTCACAGCATGGACAGGGCATGCCCAGACTAGAACAGGAACGCAGGTTTCAGCTTGCTAGGCCTTGTAGAAGCTGAGATCTGGACATCCCACCGGCAATCTAGCAATCTATTCCATTCATTAAAATAGGTGGTTGCTGGACAGTGGAATTTCGAGGTGTTAACACCAGGGGGCAACTCAGAGGGAGGTGGGCATCTACATCCAATGGTTTGTTTGGGGATCTGTTGAGGTTTGACCACTTGGGTGGAAGAATTAAGTAAAACTTCCCATGTGTAACTTATTTGACTGGGCCCAGGTAGGCTCTCTGTGGACAGTGATTTTTTAGGCCACAGAAGCCATTTGGTGAGCCCTGACATGCAAAACACTGTTGGGTGGGGCCTCCTGACCCCTCTGCTCCTTCTAATGAACCCCCAAAATCGTTCCTGCTGTGAACAGTGACCTTTTCCAGGGGTCTCCACAGCCAGCCTACCTCGGCCTGTTCAAATAAGCTGCAGGTGGGATGCTTTTTCTTGATCCATCTGCTAGAGCCACAAAACCTCAAAAAAGTGCCAAAGAAACCTATTGAGGTGGATATGCAAGCCCCCTGGGCCATTTCCAGGTGTCGAAACGTTGAAATTCCATTGCCCACGAACAGCCTATTTCATACAATCGTATAGATTGTACGTACGATGTCCATATCTCAGCTTCTGGGCACAGTAGAGAGCCCAAACCTGCGTTTCTGTGCTAGTCTGGACACGCTCTGTCTAGGGTGCGAATTTGAAGAAGATTGGAAAAACTTGAAAATTTGACCCAAAAAAACCCCAAGGGGTACTATAGATTTTTTGGGTCAAATTTTCGACTTTCTCCAATCTTCTTCAAATTCACAGCATGGACAGGGCATGCCCAGACTAGAACAGAAACGCAGGTTTCAGCTTGCTAGGCCTTGTAGAAGCTGAGATCTGGACATCCCACCTGCAATCTAGCAATCTATTCCATTCATTAAAATAGGTGGTTGCTGGACAGTGGAATTTTGAGGTTTTACCAGCAGGGGGCAACCCAGGGGGAGGTGGGGATCTACATCCACAGGTTTGTTTGGGGATCTGTTGAGGTTTGACCACTTGGGTGGAAGAATTAAGTAAAACATCCCACTTTTAACTTATTTGACTTTGCCCGGGTAGGCTCTCTGTGGACAGTGCTTTTTTAGGCCGCAGAAGTCTTTTCCCGCGTTCTAACGAGGACAAAACTACTGGACAGATAAGCCCCAGGTGGCAGGGTAAAATATCATGTTCAGAAATATGAATGTCAGTGCTTAAGTTAACAAAAAAGGCTGCATACCACTATTGATGCATTTTAACCAAAATCCAACATGATCAGAAGTGGAACAATTGGCTAAATAGCAAAGTTGTGGCCTCTTGGGACCTCACTGACGACTATCGCATCTTCGGAAAATGCACATGCCACTTGTAGCTTATTCAGTGGACCTTTAATAGGCTGTCTGCAGATGGGTTGTCCACAGGCAGCTTTAGTTACAGGTGGGATGTCCACAGACAGCTTAATAAGTTACAGGTGGGAACTAGGGGGAGCCAGGGGGACAGTGTTGCCTCAGAGCGGGTCAGGGGGTCCTCCCCCTGGGGCCTGCGCGATCGTCGGGGCCGGGAAAAATCATCTAGGGGGCCCCTATTAAGCGCCCCGTGGGACCCAGTCCTCGGGCAGCGCCCTTAGGCAGATAACTGTAAATAGGGCTGTGCAGTGCACTATGACAAAAATCTCATATCATGATACAAGTTGTATTTGTGGTCATTTGTCTGTCTTGTGTTTCTCCTCAGGATAGCGTATCTGGGCCTGACGTTGGGTTTGCGCACCGTTTCCTTCTTCCTGTGTATCCTGGGGTTGTTGGTTTTGCGACGGCACGTTCAGAAGCAGGAGCGCAGCACAATGGTGAACGGAGGATCAGCGGCAGCCGGAGAACTGCAGGCGCTCAGAAAAGAAGAAAACAACAGCTGTAACTCAGAGCAGTGTCCACAAAACACAGATTATGACCCGGAGCGGGAGACGCGACTGTGACACTCGCATTGAGAGAAAAAAAAAACGGCCGCGACGCCTGATTTTATGAGTTCCACTTTCTATCGAACCCATGTAAATGATGTGAAATACTGAAAAAAATCTGTTGTTTTGATATAGTAGAACTATTTCTTGAATGTACATGATGTTTGGGTTAAAAAAAGATGAAGAATGTCTTAAAAACTACCTAATCTGTTTGAAGATGCTTTAATAAGTGTCTTAACGTCAAGACAAACATTGGATTTCCGCTCATTCAAGCCATCGTCGTGCACAGGCCCGTACCGATAACAAGATTATTATATCTTGCATCTCTTGAATCGCGAAATTGCGTATTTATAACAAGGTTGAATTAAAAAAATTCAAGTTATAGATTCGCAGTTGATATCACAGACTTTTCAGATGAATATATTTGAGCGATTCTGCAAGAATTACTGCATATTAACTCGCAATTGTTAGCAATGCTAGACTCGAAATTGCATTTGTCCGAAATATTTGCATTTCTGAGGAAAGAAAAGTGTGAATTAGTGGTGTTTACACAACACAGTTCTCAACTAAAAATGTAACATTTCAGCGTGCTCATTTACATGCCAATGGTATTGTTAAGCGGCGGTCACACTGCACTTTTCGCTCCATAGACTTCCATTCATATGCAAGCGAATGCAACAGAGCTCTTACGACAAGCTTCGCAGTTTGCTGCAATGGAAAGTTCAAGCTTAGTAAACTCTGACCTCCATAATCGCAGCAAAAGACTGCATTAGACCAATTAAAGATTAAAACATGACCTCTCTGTATAGAACGGTGAAATATGGACTAATGTTCGCTTGTTTTAATGTCTAATGATCTTGTTCAATCCAGTCCCTTTTTGCAGCACCGTACGACAGAATTTTGCATGCTCAAACTCTAATGTGACAGCAGCTTTAGGGGTTAAAATGTTTAGACTTTTAAAAGTTGGTTTTAAACATCGCCATCTACTGGCCTGATGTGCACAATACAACACCATGTCCACTTATGTGTGTGAACAGGGATCGTTTTGGCTATTGCTGTCTGTTCACAAACCTTTTTCAATATAGTGTGGCTCTCAATTCTGTACTTTAAAGCCAACAATGCTTTAAAGAAAACTTAAAAAGAAAGCCTAGACCAACAGTTTAAATTATTACAAAAGAATTATTCACCCTCCTGTGAAATGAATTATTTTTCACATATTTCCCAAGTGATTTTTAACAAAGCAAGGACATTTTCACAGTATTTCCAATTTTTTTTTTCTTCTGGAGTCTAAAAGTCTTCATTTTTTTACATTTGGTTGGAATATAAGAAAGTAAATATTTTTTTAATATCAATATAAATAGCCCCTTTAAGACACTTAAAGACAATTTAAGGCTGTGGTTACACTGGACTTTTCGCCCCATAGACATCTATTCATACTCAAGCAAACACAACAGACCGGAAACGCAAGCTCGTGCAACAAGTTTCACATGTTGCTGCATTGCAAAATTTAAGCTTGGTGAACTCTGACCTGTGAAATATAGTGTGGCTCTCAATTCTGTACTTTAAAGGCAACATTAAAAAGGATTCACCCTCCTGTAAAATTGTAATTACGTTTCACATATTTCCCAAGTGATTTTTAAGAGCAAGAACATTTTCATAGTATTTCTAATACTATTTTTTCTTCTGAAGGTTAAACGTCTTAATTTTGGTTGGATGAAATGTAAGTAGAGTACTTCAAGGTCAATATAAAAAGCCCCTTTAAGACACCTAAAGACACTTTAAGACTTTTAATTGGCTACAGAAGAAAGCACTGTTATCCACTGACTTGCCTAATTAACCTAACCTGCCTAATTAACCTAATTAAGCCTTTAAATTGCACTTTAAGCTAAATACTAGTATCTTTCTAAATAATATGCAGTGTCATCACGGCAATGACAAAGGAAATTAGTTAGAAAAACTATTAGTTTAAAAATATGTTGAAAAACATTCTGCTAAACTATAACGTGATGCAGAGTACAGCATTTCTAATCATGTTCACACTATTATTTTCCATTGTTAGTACACTGTTGTTGTGTAAACACACCCTCAGATTGCTAAGAAAACCATCAGAATTGCGAGATATAAGCTAGAAGTCACAGAACATTGAATATCCGCTCATTATAAGCCATAATGGAGCACAGGCCCACAGGAATAAGCATATAATGCCTGGCGGGCTCATCTTCTCTTCTGCCATAAACACACAGACTGATGCCTGAAGCAGTTGACCACGACACTGTGTGCTAAATGTAGGTAGCATTAGCCTATAGACGGACTATCATTTGTTTTTAGCGTATCGTCAGGAAAGGAAGCGCATCAGAGATGCTCACCGCTGTGCTTTTCCAGCAGTTTCTCCATTAAAGAAACAGGAGGAAAGCGTGCAAACAGGTGTGTATGTCGGAAATCATCTTCAAGATCGATGTTGTGCAATGTCACTGTGAGAAATGTCGTGCGTGTGTGTGTGTTGTTTTACGTGTGAACGGGTGCATTCCTGTGCCAAAAAAAAGAAAGAAACAAAAGAAAAATGTTTTACAAAAAATGTGTGAGAAAGGAAACATGGTCTATTCTCAGGTTCAATCAATTGTTCCTCAAATTTGCAAATAATTATTCTTTTATACACCTGTATAAATGTTTCCTTTTCGTCCTTGGATTAATTTGTTCATTTACCAGTAACAACAACAACAACCACCAAGGAAAGGGTTTTTATTTGTGACGAGTGGCATTTATGACTTGCTTTTATGTTAGGCAGTACATCAGTTAATTTGCTATGTTTTTGTATACTTTAAAAAGTGAATATCCTGATGTGTAAAAAGAAAACTAATGCATTTATTTGAAAGATTAGATGCATTCTTTTAAAAATAAAATCATTTGCTACAAAAGAAAACCGTACTATTTTACGAAGGATCTACTAGCCTTTTCACTTTAATGGTGAAAATACAATCACAGCAAAATGTAAACAACTCACTGAGGCACTTGCGCAGATCCTTTCTGCATCTATTATTTTTATAACTACAATATGATTGTTAAAATATAAGCTATTTTTGACCACATTTGACAGGTAGATGTCGATACAATAAAGGCATAACATTCCCTCTTTTAAGACATTTCATATCATTTCCCAGCATACAATCAGTAAAGCACATGTCTGATCTTTGCATAGCACATGTCTATGGATAATTCAGATCTTCTGCTAATGTTTCTGTCTTTTCTCTCCTCAGTTTTTCCACTACTGTATCTGATTTGTTTGGAAACTTGTTTCTGCCACGGAATAAACAATAAAGAAGGTAATCATTTCATAATTTTAACTTTTTCCTCAAATTTGGGAGCATCTCCTACAAAACTCAGTAACAATTTTATATCCCGGAGTTCTGAGAAAAGGTCAGAATTGTAAACTCGGATAATGCATGAAATGTTTCGACATTGTGATACAAACTCAATTTGCAAGAAATAAAGTTGATAACATCAATTACTAGATATCAAAACAATAGTCCAAATTGCAAAACATTAAACTTAAATGTGTAATATAATTATTAATATGAAGTTTACACATGAAGACTTGGAACTGCAAGATAATAAATTCATATGTAGCAATGCAAGACATTAAATTCAAACAGCAATCAATTAGATTACAATTAAATTAGAACAGCAAGATACTACATTCATAATTATAATTGCGAGACATTAAATTAATAATTACAACTGCGAGATATTAAATTCAGAATTACAATTGCGAGATATTAAATTCAGAATTAGAATTGCGAGATATTAAATTCAGAATTAGAACTGCGAGATATTAAATTCAGAATTAGAACTGCGAGATGTTAAATTCAGAATTACAACTGCGAGATATTAAATTCAGAATTACAATTGCGAGATATTAAATTCAGAATTACAATTGCGAGATATTAAATTCAGAATTACAATTGCGAGATATTAAATTCAGAATTAGAACTGCGAGATATTAAATTCAGAATTAGAACTGCGAGATATTAAATTCAGAATTAGAATTGCGAGATATTAAATTCAGAATTAGAATTGCGAGATATTAAATTCAGAATTAGAACTGCGAGATATTAAATTCAGAATTAGAACTGCGAGATATTAAATTCAGAATTAGAATTGCGAGATATTAAATTCAGAATTACAACTGCGAGATGTTAAATTCAGAATTACAACTGCGAGATATTAAATTCAGAATTAGAACTGCGAGATATTAAATTCAGAATTAGAACTGCGAGATATTAAATTCAGAATTAGAATTGCGAGATGTTAAATTCAGAATTACAACTGCGAGATGTTAAATTCAGAATTACAATTGCGAGATATTAAATTCAGAATTACAACTGCGAGATGTTAAATTCAGAATTACAACTGCGAGATGTTAAATTTTAGAATTACAATTGCGAGATATTAAATTCAGAATTACAATTGCGAGATATTAAATTCCGAATTACAATTGCGAGATATTAAATTCAGAATTACAATTGCGAGATATTAAATTCCGAATTACAATTGCGAGATATTAAATTCAGAATTACAATTGCGAGATGTTAAATTCAGAATTACAACTGCGAGATGTTAAATTTTAGAATTACAATTGCGAGATATTAAATTCAGAATTACAACTGCGAGATATTAAATTCAGAATTAGAACTGCGAGATATTAAATTCAGAATTAGAACTGCGAGATATTAAATTCAGAATTAGAATTGCGAGATGTTAAATTCAGAATTACAACTGCGAGATGTTAAATTCAGAATTACAACTGCGAGATGTTAAATTTTAGAATTACAATTGCGAGATATTAAATTCAGAATTACAATTGCGAGATATTAAATTCCGAATTACAATTGCGAGATATTAAATTCAGAATTACAATTGCGAGATATTAAATTCCGAATTACAATTGCGAGATATTAAATTCAGAATTACAATTGCGAGATGTTAAATTCAGAATTATAATTGCGAGATATTAAATTCAGAATTAGAATTGCGAGATATTAAAATTCCTAATCAGAAATGCGAGATTAAATTCAGAATCAGAATTGCGAGATATTAAATTCAGAATTAGAATTGCGAGATATTAAATTCAGAATTACAACTGCAAGATATTAAATTCAGAATTAGAACTGCGAGATATTAAAATTCCGAATCAGAAATGCGAGATTAAATTCAGAATCAGAATTGCGAGATATTAAAATCAGAATTAGAGTAGCAAAACAATAATTCATAATTAGAATTGCGAGACATTAAATGCATAATTGCTAGTGTAACTATATCCACTAAACTCATAACTGCAATATAAACTGTTATTATTCATTCAAAATCGTGAATTTAACACTAAAGTTGAGAAATGTTGAAATATATTCTCATGAAAAACAGAAATTGACATTAAACTGTGATAAATTTGTAATTGACAGATATAAACAAAGGATATAAGATTTTCAAAATAATCATCAAAATTGCAAAATAGACTTTGATAAAGGGATAGAAACTGCAAGTTTGCATCTTTCACTTTGCATTTTTGCAGCTTGTATTACTGTAAATGCTTTCAAGTTGCAAACAACTATAAATGTATCTTATAAACTGTTTATTGCACTTTTGAGTTTGTATCTCGCCAATCTGAGTTATAAAAAAGTTGCAAGTTTATATTGAGTTTATAAGTTCACGATTGTGAGAAACAGAAATGATTTATACATATATTTGTTTTCACATAGCAAGAAAAGATCACAACTACCCTTTATTTTATTCCATGGCAGTAACAGGTTCTGACTTATTCATAATAATAAATAACAACAATATTAATAAATGAAAGTAAGAATAGGATTTAGCAGACAGATATTTGTCTCACAGCACATGATGACTTTCACAGTCTTTTAATCTACCTTGAAGTTTAATCATAAATGAATATAGTAGCACATAACTACTAAAAGTGCACATGAGTAAATAAGATTTACAATTTTGGTTTTGTTTCTGAGACCACAATAGGTGAACGATAAAAAATATATATCCAGGCCTCTTTTAATTACTGAACAAATCTCAACAAAACATGTCCAGGTCAGATTTAAACCCCCAAAAATAAATCAAAATTGCATGAAGATGGAAGCTCTTTTTAATTAAATGCATTGGTTTATGTCAATTATTCTGCATAGTCATTAAATAATTCAATACTAATATTTACAGCATGTATTTATATTTTGTTTGCATTACAGTAACAATCGTTTGCCATTAGAACTGGAGGGAAAACGTTATGTGGCCTGTTTCTGCCAAGGAATAAACAACTAAATAAAGCAAATCGAGATTAATTATGTGCTAATAATTCTGACCGGAGAGAAATAAGCAAAGAATTAAAAATCAAAGTAAATTAAAGTAACCAAAATTGTGATTTAATATAATATAAACTTTGAATTATAATAAGTGTCAGAACTGCATGTTTGTATCTTTCAGTTCTGCTTTTCTGCCGTTTGTATGGTGTAATTGTAAATGACTTTTAAGTAATTTAATAGTAGTTACTTTATATAATAATAATAATAATGGTCATTTAGTCCTTTAATTTATGCAATTTTAAGTTTGCATCTCTCAGTTCAGAATGTATAAAAGCATGTCATGATAAACTGAACATTTATATCTCACATTTAATGTATTTCTGCAATCGTATTCAGCATTTATATCCCACATTTCGAACATTTTCCACCACAGAAATGTCTTATATTCATCACACTTGTATCATCCTGTGGCAGAAACAAGCTTCCATTTTTAAAAATGTGCTTAATCTTGATTAGACATATTAAAATAACAGTAAAACTCCTAAATAATAGTATAAATGCTCAAAAAAATATATAATTATTAATTGCTGTGGAATATGGCCCAGACATGTTTTGTTTTAATTTAGATTATTGTATCTGTATTGTTGTGTCCTCTTAAGCAGCATCAGCAGCACAAAGAAATCTACCTCAAATGAGCTGAACCGCATTTGTCTAACAGTATTTGATCTCAGGTGTAAATGTATTTCTACCTCTCCAGAAAGAAGACGCTACTCGCTAACCGCTCTCTGTCATGTGTTCACTTGCTGTTCATCTGTACACGCTTTTATTCTTCAGAATTAAAGCTGATCAAATGACCACCGTAGCCTGTAATGTATGTCAACTCAGATATGCCTCCATTGTTTTAAGCATAATTATATTGTAGGCTTTTTTTTACCTTTATTAGATAGGAGACAGGAATGCATGGGAGCAGATAGACATTTGCAAAATTGCTTGAGCCGGGACGGGATCTCAGTGCTAAATGTTAACACATTTAACCACTAGGCTATTAGTTGAACTACAAACCTGCTTTCAAACGCAATCCATAATGTAGTGAGGAAGAAAATTGAGCAGAAAAAAGAAGGAAAACAACAAGGTTTATCAGTGCAGCATGCAACAAACACAAATCAAAATTGGCTTTTTTTTCCTTGTAAACACATTGGTAAGACATAAATGTGCAAAATGTGTTCCTTTAGCTTAGCATTAGCAATAAAACCCATGAAGGAAAACTCCATTTGTTTGTAATAAGGCTCATTTTACAGCTCCACTACTGTTAAACTGTTCCATTCAGCCGATCTCTGGGTTTGCACTTTTAGCGTAGCTTAGCATACATCATTGAATCGGATTGGACCATTAGCATCTCAAACAATTTTGATTGTTTGCCTAGTTAAAGCTTGACTCTTCTGTAGTCTTGCGTACTTAGGCTGGAAAAAACAGACCAAGATGGAAAATGAAAGTTGCTATTTAATATGGGCTGATATGTATACTCTCATTCTGGCGTAATAATCAAGGCACTTTACTGCAGTGCCATGGCTGTAGCAGCTATTACACAGATAATACACAGTGCCTGTAAATCAGCCAACTTCTGTCTATACAACCAACATGACCACCGGCTTGCACAGGGAGCATGCTGGGAACTATTTTCAGGCACTGTGTAATATCAATGCACTACTACAGCCATGGCACTGCAGTGAAGTACCTTGATTACTACGCCAGAATGAGAGAATAGTTCCTAGAAATATAATAGCAACTTTCCATTTTCTGTCAGTCTAAGTACATGGTCTAACTACAGATGAGTCAAGCTTTAAATAGGGAAATTATCAAAATGTGTCGGTCATTTTTGGGTGAGATGCTAATGGTCTAATCCGATTCAATGATGTATGCTAAGCTAAGCTAAAAGTAGTTCCTAGCTATATTAGCCTAGAAAATAACTTTACATTTTCCATCAGTCTTAGTGCATACTGTAAATACAGAAGTCAAACTTTAAATAGAAAAATAAACTAAATTCTTTGGCAATATTTAAGCAAGATGCTAATGGTCTAATCCGATTCAATGATGTATGCTAAGCTAAAAGTAGTTCCCCGCTAAATCAGCCTAGAAAATAACTTTACGTTTTGCTTTAGTCTTAGTATACAATGTAACCATAGAAGAGTCGTGCTTTAAATAGGAAAATTATCAAAATTTGTTGGTCATTTTTGAGTGTGATGGTCTAATCCGATTTAATGATGTATGCTAAGCTAAACTAAAAGTAGTTCCCAGCTATTTCAGCCTAAAAAATAACAACTTTACATTGTTACCAAAGAAGTCAAGCTTTAAATAGAAAAAATAACTGAGCTCTTTGGCAATTTTTAAGCGAGATGCTAATGGTCTAATCCGATTCAATGATATATGCTAAGCTAAAAGTACTTCCCAGCTATATCAGCCTGAAAAATAACAACTTCTATCAGTCATAGTGCACCATGTAAAAACAGAGGAGTCAAGCTTTAAATTGAAAAATTTTGTTGGTCATTTTTGATCGAGATGCTAATGGTCTAGTCCGATTCAATGATGTATGCTAAGCTAAGTTTTTACTAGCTATATCAGCCTAAAAAATAACTTTACATTTTCCACCAGTCTTGGTACACAATGTAAATAAAAGAGAGTCAAGCTTTAAACAGAAAAATTATCTAAATTATTGGGCTTTTACTTGAGCGAGACGCTAATGGTCTAATCCAATTCAATCATTTATGCTAAGCTAAGCTAAAAGTGCCCCTGCGAATCCCAGAGATCAGCTGAATAGATTACAAAAAAATAGTAAAATTCACCTGATTAACTCTAGAAGAGCTGTAAAATGAGCCTAATTACACAAAAAGGTGAAGAGTTTCTTTAAAATAACAACTCTATACCCATTACTGTCCATATTAGGGGAAACATTACTATTAAAAAAGACTTAAATAAGGTATACAGTTGTCATTTTAACAGGTTCGCTCCAGTGACGAGCTAAATGACGAAGTTTTGCACATTTTATTAAACAACGATGCTAGAAAACTGTGAAACCGCTCTGATCATGTGACCTGACAGGAAGTCATCATCAGGAGTGTCAGGTGAGTGTGTTGAGGATGAACTGAGCGTAATGATGATTATCGTGCAGATTTACATTGTGTGGTGTGTCCGTTCCTCTAGTTTTCTTTTTTATCTCCGCTGTCCATCTGATTCTGGAAATTAGAAGAAAACAGTAAGCAAGGGTCTTCTATTGTTCTTGGTCACGTCATATTCTTTGATATTTGTCACTAATGGGGTATATGCACACAGACTTTTAGTTTTCAGCCAGCCAGCCCCGGGGCTTACGGTGAACTGTCTTTCCATTATAACATTGACAAGTTTCAGGTCTGATTTCTTAATAATTAATCAGTGATCTTCACTGTAAGGTTCACTCATACACATATTTACTTCTATAATTCCATGTCTTTTCCATGATTTTTCCAAGACTTTCAAGTTTATTTTCACGACCTAAGGTTTTAGGCAATGTTTACTCATACATGGTGAAAGAAAAGTGATGCATGTTCAAATTTATTGCAGCATATCGTAAAACACGCAGCAATCTATTTAGCTTCAATTTATATTTAAATCGATGTAAAATTGATTTAAATAATGCTTTCACTTTTCCAAAACTTTGTGGGTTTTTCCTAAACTTTTCCAGGCCTGGAAAATGCCATGTCCAACTTCCATGACTTTTCCAGGTTTTCCATGACCGTATTAACCTTGCTGTCAGATATATGATCATGATATATGTTATAAAGTGGGTCTCAGACCGGACAAGAAGCACTGCTTCTTTGGTAATTATTATTGGTGAAAATGTGTAGCTTAAATTGAAAAATGTGATTTAAATTAATATTCTTCTGATTTATATATTGTTGATCTTTACTTTTTCCTGTTTTATTATAATATGTTGATGGTATCCTGTGAAACATGGAAGCATTTGTACATCATTTTGTTGTCTAAAACATTACAGATTTAAAATATACGACAACTTTGCAGTGCTATTTTAATATCATTGAGATAGTTTCTGTTAACATTTTTATTATTTTTTTGTCTTGTTTGTTTTCCTCCAAGTTTTAAGTTTTATTATTGTTACTTTAATTGCCATTTTTATAACTCTGTTGTGTTTTATTGTTTAAAATTTACTATATTCTGTAGTTACTACATTTATTTGAATTTGACATTTATTTTTGATACAAAATTATATTTTATTTAGAAAACATGTTGCATTTTTTAATTATTTTTATTATTCTTTAATTATTTTTAAGTACCTTTTCCTTTCTTTTTTGTCGTTTTGATGTTTTTATAAGACGTCTTACTAGAATTACTCTTATTATTGAATGTTTTTGTTGTCTCTGTATCTAAAGGTACTAAATGTATTTGTTTTGGCACATTTTATCTATTCGTGTCATCATTTATTATTTGTATCTAAAATTAATAAATCACTACTTTGTAAATTTCCTGTTATTTCAAGTTATTGTTATCTAATTTTACAACATGTTTAATTGTTTTTTGTTTGGATTAGTGTTATATTAATCCTTAATGTTTATTATTTTGAACCTAAAATTACCAAATATTTGTATTTATTTATTTATTTTTTAAATAATAAAAAAAATCATGCATTCATTTTTGTGTAATTTTGATATTGTTTTATTAGATGTTTTACTAAGAACATCACTCTAATCTCCAGGTGTTTTTGTTCCTACCTAAAAGTACAACATTTGTTGATTTTTATTAGTTTGTTTTTTAATCTAAAATTACAAATTGGGTTGTTTTTACTTGCATTTAAATCATTACTTATTATTGTTCTTTAACTTTCAAATCTATGTTAAGCTGCTTTAACACAATTTACATTGTAAAACAGCTATAGAAATACACATTAATTAAATTGAATTGTTTTAAGAGTTCACACTTCGATATTGCTTTATAATAATAGCAGGATTGGCATGCTTTCCCAGGAGAGAACCCTGAGCTCGGAGATAATTTAGCTCAGGGCTCCCGCCTGGTGAATGAGCATGTAAGATGGTCCAAGATCAGGTAGTTCTAGACAGCTTCTCCTAGTAAAGGAGGAAAGGGGGAGATGGTGTGGACGGGGGAAAAACACAAAGGTAGTAATGCTAGACAAGCTATTTATAGTGAGTTTGGAATAATCTGATTGGCTTACTAATGATTACAGATGAGAGACCAGCCGCGATCCATCATATCATGTGCTCCTATCAAATTAGTTTGTGAGACTTCAGCAGCACTGTCTACATGCATAGCAACTTTGGTAATAAGTACTCCATTCTCTGTTCATTTCTTATTTAAATGTCTTCTTATTTCTAACTTATTTAATCTAGCTTGTTGTTATTTATATGACAGAACTGAATTACTGTTCAATAATGTTAATTTGATGTGAAGTACTGTAAAAGGTGTGTGTTGTTAGTGTTTGACCTGCAGCTGCTGGTGCTCCTGAAGCAGCCGCTCGTACTCTTTGGTCAGTCCGTCACTTTGTTTCTTCATGGTGTCTAAATCAGACTTTGACTTTTTCAGAGCTGCAGGAAAGCAGTTTAAAATGAACATATCTTTAAAATAAAATGACAAAACATACTATTAAATAATATGGAAATGGAAAATAAACACAGATTTTCAGGCCTCCTGAAAAAAAAAATTGCATTAAGAAAACACTTTATTGAAGCTCTTTATTAAGGAATTGTGAGCTGTGATTGACTTAGACTGTTTCAGAGCTGCAGGAAAGCAGTGCGTTGGTTATAGATGTGTTAACTGCTGTAGGGGAGTGTGTGTGTGTGTGTGTGTGTGTGTGTGTAAGTTTTTGTGTATTTGAGTGTGCATGCAAGAGTTTGTATGTGAAAGTATGTGTATGTGTGTATATATGTATGTGTGAGTGAGTTTGTGTGTCTGTATTTTTGTGTTTGTGCCTGCCTTTGTATGTTTGCATGTGTTTGTGTGTGTGAATTTGTGAATATTTGTGAGCTTGTGTGAGTGCATGTGTATGTTTGTGTGTGTGTGTCACCATCTGCGCTGGTCTTCAGCTCCTCCTTCAGTCTCTGCAGCTCCTCCTTCAGCCGTTTGCTCTCCTCTGGATCTGCTTTTTGTCCTCCTTCTTTGGCATCTGCAAGAGCCTGAATATGATGATGATGATGATGAAGGTGAAGGTTAGTCTTTGTGTTACTGAACATGATTATTCAGACACACGTTTGTTTTATCTATCCTCATGCATGCTTATCTGAAGCAGATATAAAATGCTGATTCAACTCCAAGAAAAGAAATTTAAATGTTTTTTTTCATGTAAATGAAATTATTTATTGATAATTACTGAGCTGTGATTAAAACCAAAAAATTTGTAACTTTTAAACCTGTTTTTGTTTCAGAGAGTTTTAAACCAGTGTTTTTTCATAGCATTTAATTTCAGCTTAAAATTAAAACTGCAAAAAATATAAAACCTATAAAAGTTACTCTGTCACAATGAAATTAAACACAGTGAGTGACTAATAAAAGGCAGATGTTCAGGTCATATTTTACCCCAAAATGTTTTCAAAAAAAATCATGCAAATTTCATTTAAATTCAGTTCTTTATTTTATATTAGACAGCTTTAAATAAATATATTATTTAAATATTCAAAAAAATCATGCCAAATATCATGCAAATAGAGTTCTTTATTTTATTTTAGATAGTTTTAAATATTTTTTATATTAATTTAGTTTAACCAAGAGCTACAAAATTAGATTTAAAATAAATAAAAATCAAACTATATTTAACTAAATAAATTAATAAATGCAAAACATAGTATTAATAAATAGATCCCAAAACATACTATTACATTAAAAGTGTAATCAGATGATAAGGACATTTTTACCCCAAAATAATCAAAAATAGTTTTTGTGCATTAATAATTTTCATGCAAATTCTTCATTGATAATCACTGACCTGTGACTGACCTTAATTAAAACTGAAATCAAAACATTACAATCATTTTTGTTACTTAGGACACTTAAACTTATTTTATTTCAGATACTTGTAAAAGGAATGTTTTTCATACTTATTTAGTTTAACTTATAATTAAAATATTCTTTAAAAAAATGATATTTTTATGCAAAAACATTCTATAAATTAATTATATATTGTGTTATTGTAAAATAATAATCAAATCAAATTTAAACTATTGTTAAAAGCTAGGTTTCTCAGTGTCTTGAAAATAAATTTGAACACAGAGAGAAGCTGCAAGTAAAATGCAAACGGTCAGGTCATAATTTAGGTCAATAATTTATTTTTGTATTTTAACAAATTCATTACTAAAATATCTTCATCCTTATTTATTTATTTATGGTAGTAACTTCTATACAGTTATATTTATTCATATAAACAACTCTTGCATGAAAAACAACTTTTATTCCCATGCAAACAAAAAAAAAGTAAAATATTGATTAAAAACATTTAGACTAAAATTTGCATTGGTATATGTCCACCCCGAGATTTATTTTATTTTATTTTTTTAACCTGTTTGAGGATCTGGTTGTCCTCCATGTACTTCTTGGCAGCTTTATTGGTAGTTTCGACCTGGTTCTGTAGATCTACGCAAGAATCTGCAGCTGTGGCCAGCTGACTGATCAGAGTGACCACCCTCCTCATCACCCTGAAACACAAACACAGCTCAAAACCTCAGCAGCATGTCTACTAACTCCAGTAGTGAGATCTTCACATTTACTTGTTGCCATTAATTGTGGAATTATGTAGTATTATATACTACCACAATATATTGACTTTATCACAGTAAATAGTATCATCACAGTTTATGGTATCAAAGTATGTAGATTTTAATTGCATTTTATACATTCATTCATTTTCTTTTCGACTTAGTCCCTTTATTAATCTGGGGTCGCCACAGCAGAATGAACCGCCAATTCATCCAGCATCTGTTTTTACGCAGCGGATGCCCTTCCAGCTGCAACCCATCACTGTAAAACATCCATACACGCTCATTCACACACACATTTATACACTACGGTCAATTTTAGCATATCCAATTCACCTGTACCACTTTGGACTTGTGGGGGAAGCCAGAACTAATTGCATTTTAAATCATTTAAAAAAGTCTCTTGCATAAAAGCAACCTTTCCGCCCCATGCATGCTGCATTTCTAATACAACAATCTGAATATTCTTAAAAAGCATGCTAAAAGTTTAAATAATAAATAACTAATCACTGTATTTTGAAGTGCACATGATATAAACACTGTCCATGTTCTTTATCATGATATACTGAATCTCTTCATGTCAAATATCAACATACAGCCAGAGGAAGAGCGAGAAGCCGGAGATGTAGAGGTTCCTCTGAGCCCGGAAGAGCTTCATGTGCATGTGGTCGAACATGTTGGGGTGCAGCTTGGCATCTTTGGACTGATCCGAGTTCGAGTATTTTCTGACCTCACGGAGAGCATCTGCACACATCAGATCAGCTCAGAACATCACAACACTCAAACAGGACAATCTTCAGGTAAAACCATGGTTATTATTCTATCTTATGTCAAAGTACTTGTATAGCCTGTCTAAAGTTTACATGTGTTAATTTAATTAAAGTCAATGTAATGACAAGTACAAAAGCATCTATTAATTCTTATTAACATGTATAGTATATGTATACTGTAACAAATATCTGTTAATTAACAGTGTCCGTATTTTGTGATTCACAAATGCTTTGTTTATGGTTGTGAATTGCATTAAGGGATGTTGACTTTCGACTTTTGATGATGAAAATTCAACTTAACAGTTTAACAAAGTGACTTTTAGTGACATTTAAGAGGTTTAAAATAATATTAATGTATAAGAAAATAATAAAATCTAGAGAAATAAGTCAGAAATAACAGAACATGCACTAGCAGCTTAGTACAAGGTTTTTATAGCATAATATACAACACCAACCCAGACAATACATCACTGCAGACTATTGATATTGTTCATAAAAGTCACTTTTCAAAGTTAAAAGTTGTTGACAGATCAAGCTTAATAATTAAGAAAAGCATAAATAAATTGCAAAAAATAAAAAACATGAATCAAAATACAGAAATCTGCAAATTTATGGATATGTAATCAAATCAACGCTCTGGTATGTTAGTTATGTGTAGGTTTAAAATAGCTCCTTCATCCAGTGTTGTATTTAAATGTATGTTTATGTTCATTTATGTAGCACCGCAGTCCTGCGAGACATGACATTTTGTTCCACTTTGTCCACACTTAGTGTAATGACAATAAAGCTCAACTTAACCTGATTATAGTTGAGCAATTTTAGAATTATGTAACATAGGGCTGCACTATATATCATTTCAGAATGGATATCGCAATATGCGCATCTGCAATAGTTACATCACAGGATCTGCAATGTTGAACTTGTAAGACTTGAGATGCCACAAATATTTTGATGTTTTTGACAATTCAAACATGAGCTGAAAACACAGAGACAATCGGCTCCACAACACACCAGGTGGGAATGCGGAAAAACCAGCTCCCCTCCTTTCCTCCATTTTTGTTTGAAGCATCTCCCAAAACACCCTTTGGTCACTTCATCTATCATGTTTAATATCATTTGAAATGTCTCAGTGCAACTGGAACAATGGTCTCATTCCCTCAGAAACAGACATAATCAAAACAATAAATATATAACTAATATATATATATATATATATATATATATATATATATATATATATATATATATATATATATAAGGTTACCCAAGGGGATAAACATTCATCTTTAAACTTATAATACTATTTGGATGGTATAGTGATTACTCAAAGTTATTAATAGTTTAAGTTTGACTGGTCTCCTTAATTCTATAGTAATGATCATAAGAGAATGTTCAATCATAATCTAAAGTAATATTAAAAGAAACAAAATAATCTTATCAATGTTTTATAATTGGAGTCAGATAAAACGAGGATAAATATATTAACATTCTAAACCACCTCATACTAAAGTTGGACTCAGATATGAGTTAAGTTTAAAGTAAATCAACATTGTGCACTGGAAAGAGCGAACATGCTGTGAACCTTCGTCCACCAGTAGACACCGTCATTGGACTAACTGGCTGGACCTTACAAACTGGTGCTATAAATGACTAGGAGCTATATTTGAAAATGCTTATGATTGGTCATTGCAATATTTAAACAAAGTTACCAAAACCTTTATTATTTATGTGGGTTTTTAAGGCCTGCAACTGTGAGCATTTTTTAAAGCCAGTTTAAAGTATCCAGGCATAAGAAGGACATTTCTAACTTTAAGAAAGATTAATTATATTTCTGTAAATATACGATGAAAACTATACAGTGTTATTTTACCTGTGATTATTAAATTTGTTTATCTGAATATTGCTAATCATAAAGCACTGTGCATTCTATTTGTACAGTCTCATCAGCAACCTTTGAATGCATCCTTCTGAGAATGCAGCCTCTGAAATGAGACACAGCTCATATATTTATTAGTTTCCATTTAAGCAATTTACTGAATGAACTGAGAGTGCACTAAGATGTTGTTCATAAATATTTTTAATTTGAAAGCAGAAAAATACCCACCAAGAAAGAGAACGATGAGGATTATTATCATGGCGAGGAAGCCCTTGTTCCAGAACTGGGAAAGCCGGCTCCAGATGCTCCACTTGAAAATCTTCTGCCATCTGCAAACATGGAAGTTAGTAAGAGCAAATGCACAACAGAGAAAATACATTTCAAAGTGCATTACAGCAACCACATCCCACCTTTTAGCAGAAATGAACGGCAGACAAAAGAAGATAAGAACGGCAATCTCTACATACAGGAAAGTTGCAACCGCCGTCCACTGCAGCGTCATTTTATTTCAGCTGTACGACAAAAGAAGAAACAGTATATGTAAGTATATGTGCTAACATTTTCACAGACATGCTTCTGAAAACAAGCTTCTGTTTGATACTAGCAGTTATGGGTTGCACGGTTTACCGGATCTATGGTAGTATCACGATACTATGGCTCTAAAATACTGCCGGTGTCACTGTAGTTTGTAAACGGTAGTCTCATCATTATTGGTTTATCTACAATAGATAATGTTGCATGTGAAAAGGTCACTAAAATGCTCACACGTTTGTGCAACAATTACCCATTTTAATAGTGGAGCCCGTTAAGGTTGCAAAACGGTGTATAATTTGCACCTTTTATGGTAGCCTTCTGCATGTTTTCTAATGCGTCAGTTAATCTGTTCATTTCTGTTCCCGTTAATATGATTTATTAGTGACAGAGACCATCACTTAAATAGAAAAAATGAACAAATTAACAATTCTAACTTCTACTGTAGATTGATTTTGCTGAACTGGAAATGAAAAGATCCTCCCCGTTGCTCCTCATTAATAAAAAAAAATTAATATCTTGCCTGCAGAGTGAGAAGCTTATTTTCTCTTAAAAATAACATAAATAATACAAAAATAATATAACAAAAATAATATTGTCTATGTAATATGGAATCCATTTATTGAGTACTTTAAAAAGAGAGCAGTGATTGAACCCTAGTAGAAACGCCTCAAATCCCCTCCTTATTTAGTTGTTTTTCTCCCCTCTTTCTCTGTATATGTATATGATTTATAGACATATATTATGTATAATTTGTACTGATGTAAAAAAAATTAATAAAGAGAATATTATATATATATATATATATATATATATATATATATATATATATATATATATATATATATATATATATATATATATATACTGTTTCTTTAATAGAAAATATTATTGTCTATTAAACAATTTTATCAATAATTTTAATGTTTAAGTAATATTTTTTATTAAATTGTCTGATTTTTAATAGAATGCATACATTTTCACAGTATTTACTATTATATTTTTCAATTAGGCGAAGCAGTGGCGCAGTAGGTAGTGCTGTCGCCTCACAGCTAGAAGGTCGCTGGGTCGCTGGTTCGAGCCTTGGCTCAGTTGCCGTTTTTGTGTGGAGTTTGCATGTTCTCCCTGCGTTCGCGTGGGTTTCCCCCACAGTCCAAAGACATGTGGTACAGGTGAATTGGGTAGGCTAAATTGTCCGTAGTGTGTGTGTGTGTGTGTGTGAGTGAATATGTGTGTGGAATGTTTCCCAGAGATGGGTTGCGGCTGTTAGGGCATCTGCTGCGTAAAAAAACTTGCTGGATAAGTTGGCGGTTCATTCCGCTGTGGCGACCCTGGATTAATAAAAGGACTAAGCCGACAAGAAATTGAATTAATTATTTAGTTATAAATGTCACAAATAATTAATTAGGAAAAAATTGCAACACATTAAACCTAATTTTACTAACTTACTGTATTTTTGAGCACTAAAAAAGCTTTTTCCATTTAAAAAAATTTTATTATTATCATCATCATTATCGCTGCATCTGTTATTTTATGCACAGACAAACATTGAGGTAAAGTTTGATTTATATGGATTTATACTCATTCTTTCAGACTTTCTCCTTAATAATAAATTTTCAGAAAAGCAATCTTTGCTATTTCTAAATAGCAAAATTATATTAGCAGCCAATGACTATCAAAGTAAATCATTGCTCAGTATAAATAGTGGTGTTTTGAAGTCACCCTCACATCTGATTTCAGACTGAATATTCAAAGTATCATGGTAAACAGTATAGGGAGCATGTCACAAATTGCCATTAAATGAATATGCAAACATAAAACCAACTTTAACGTGCCACAATCAGATAAACTCCTTCAAGACCATTCTAGGATGATTACATCATCCCAAATAAAGCTATTTAAGCCATCTGGAAAAAAAACTATATATATATTTTTTAATGTATGACATGCATATATTTAATAACAAACAATAACAAACCCTACATATGTTACAATTTATTTACACGACTGTGCCAGTGTGTCAACAAATAAAAGCTAAAGCACAATTCTTACTTATCAAGGCTGTTATTAATCTCTTCCGAAATCTACTTATGGCATTATGCTGTGGTCAAAGGTCATTAATTTCACCTGTTATACACTTTGACTGTATTCAATACCAGGAAGAACGTAATGTTTACAAACTATCGTTTTAACATGCACAAACAAAGCATACAACCGCATTTTAGGCGTAAAATGATTAACAGTCGATGTGCAGAAGTGATATAATCAAGTTTAAGCAGTTAGAAGTGTGCAGCTGTTATGAATATTAATATCTATGAATATAACAGCATCTGCTCGAACAGGAAACAAACAAACGGCATGCCAATACAAACACGCGAATAAAAGGAAGACGCAACAACACAGACAGACAGAAAAGCGACACTTTTGCGTCTCACTTACATTTAAACAAAATCTCCTGACAAATTTCAGACGAAAGACACAATTCTGGAAAACTACACTAAAGTCTGACAAACGCGCAACTGCCGTCCCGTCTCACTCCAGTGACGTCACTTACACGCGCGCTCTGCATCACCATGCACGCGCTCCCCAGAAAAGCTTAATAATAATAGTAATAATAATGATTTAATAATAAATAATATTAATAATTATAAAAAATATATACATAAATATTTTGCTTTCTCACGTTAAAATGCTATGATTGTATTTATTTTATTGTTAATTTTAATAAAACAGACGAAACCAGACAAAGTCAATAGTTTCAAGCAGAAGTCCAATAATATTTTGTATAATTTATTTTGTAAATAATTGTGTATGTGTTTATTTTATATTTAAGTTACTATATGCTATTTTACTTGTTTTTGTTGTTGTGCACTGCATCACCATGTGCGCACTCTCGTGACAAAAGCTAAATAATAATAATAATCAATAATTATAAAATATATACATATATCTTTTGTTTTTTCACAAGAGAACATAAAAATGCTATGGTTATATTTAATTTAGCCTATTACTAATTACTATTACATAAAGGGGCAAATTAATAGTTTCAAGCAGCAGCCCAATGATATTTTGTTTAATTTACATGCATTTTTTATGAATGATTATATGTATTTATTTTATATTGAAGTAACTATTTTTTTAATTTGTTATTTATATTGTTGTGTCTATACACTTGCATACATTTTGTTTAAAGCTTTTGCAAAAATGCATGTAAAAACACTCGAGAATACAGTATTTAAATGATTTTGCTGTGCTTAAATGTGCCAGAATATGTTCAATTTAAACACCATATGTTTAATATTTTTATTAAGTTTAAAATGTTATTTATAATGCATTCTAATGTATGTTTTTTGTCATTATATGTGTATATATTTTCCTGTAATCGCCTATTTTGCGTGTAATTCTTTGCCATAATAATTACAATGACTGAAATTATCGTGAAATGGTTTTGCTGTAATTCATAAATATCACCTCTGGAGGGCGAAACACTTCACAAAATCACCACCTTTGCTCTTGTATTGACTTTTTTGGCAAATAAATAATTTAGTTTGTTGTTTTTGCTCTGGTTTTGTTTTATTTTGCATGGCTGTTCATGTTTTTCAAAAGTATGCTTGCCTTGTAATTGTTTTTGTTCATTTATTTGACCGTTTTTTTGTTACAATCGAGAACTAATTCAACATTAACCTGTTAATAATTTGCAATTTGAGATAGTTTTTTTATGGTAAAGGTATATAAGTTTACATATAAACTACACAGATATAGTTTTAACATTTCAAAACCGAAGTTTTTGTTCTTTAAGCGCAATTTTAGACTTGAATAAATAAATAAATAAATAATACTAGTTTAATCAAATGATTATGCATTCACTGTTATTTTTGTTTAGCTGTGAAACATTACATGCTGTCATTGGGTCCTTTCTATACTAAGGGTGAAAATAAACATTATCAACACAACAATACATTAATTTGGGCTCTGAAATGTTTCAAATTCAAGCGTTAAAGGCTTCTTCTATTATTGAAAAATAATGAAAACATTTATTTATGTCCTGGCTGATTATTAATATTGTGGTTAAATACATTTTTTATCGCTATTATTATAATTTTCCCCTGCAAGAGGACAGCGTCTTCCTAAGCGGTAAGTCGTGGGTTCGAACCCCACAAACACCCGTCATTAGCTAGAGTGTATCGTGTCTGACTGAGTTATGCACAGCGTGACATCCAGATACTACTGAAAATCTACATTACAATAAACTAAATATTCATATTCAAGTGTTAACAGAAATTAAGAGCAGAAAAACGTCTCAAAATCTCAACAAATAAAACATCTATTAATATAAGTACCAATTACATTTATTAAATCATATATTAAATAATTGTGTATATCGAGCCCCCTGATAAATAAATGGACTAAGCCGGAAAAAAATGAAGGAATTAATGTATATGGAAGGGGAGGCGTCTTTCTATTCAGTGAATCATGGGTTCGAATCCCACAAACGTACACCCGTCACTAGCTTCATTGAGTGATCATGTCTGACTAGATACTACTAAAAATCTACATTACAATAAACTACATATTCATATTCAAGTGTTAACAGAAATTATGAGCAGAAAAACGTCTCAAAATCTCAACAAATAAAACATCTAATAATATAAGTACAAATTACATTTATTAAATAATATATTAAATAATTGTATATATCGAGCCCCCAGATGAATAAATGGACTAAGCCGAAAAAAATGAAGGAATTAATGAATAAATGTATATGGAAGGGGAGGCGTCTTTTTCAGTGAATCATGGGTTCGAATCCCATAAACGTGCACCCATCACTAGCTTCATTGAGTGATCGTGTCTGACTGAGTTATGCAATCACAGCTTGGCATCCAGATTCTACTGAAAATCTACATGACAATAAACTACATATTCATATTCAGGTGTTAACAGAAATTAAGAGCAGAAAAACATCTCAAAATCTCAACAAATAAAACATCTCTTAATATAAGTACCAATTACATTTATTAAATCATACATTAAATAATTGTATATATCGAGCCCCCTGATGAATAAATGGACTAAGCCGGAAAAAATGAAGGAATTAATGAATGAATGTATATGGAAGGGGAGGCGCCTTTCTATTCAGTGAATCATGGGTTCGAATCCCACAAACATACACCCGTCACTAGCTTCATTGAGTGATCGTGTCTGACTGAGTTATGCAATCACAGCTTGACATCCAGATTCTACTGAAAATCTACATTACAATAAACTACATATTCATATTCAAGTGTTGACAGAAATTAGGAGCAGAAAAACGTCTCAAAATCTCAACAAAGAAAAACATCTACAAATATAAGTACCAATAACATGTTTTAAATAATATATTAAATAATTGTATATGTCGAGACTCGAGCCCCTTGATGAATAAAGTGACTAAGCCGAAAAGAAAATGAAGGAATTAATGAATGAATGTATATGGAAGGGGAGGCGTCTTCCTATTCAGTGAATCAGGGGTTCGAATCCCACAAACGCAATCAAGACCAAAATCTACATTACAATGAACATTATATTCAACTGTCAACGGAAAATATAAGCAGAAAAACATCTCAAAATCTCAACAATAACAAACTAATCTCAAAATAATAGTAGTAAAAAATCTGTGATTAATTCGGGTCTAAAACATAAGTGTTCGTGCATAAATTAAATGATTTGAAAACGAGTAACATAAAAAACGTGCTTGTAAATTAAACATAAGTTTATATATAAATTTAATTAAAATGAATTAGATGTTTAATGTGTTTTTGACTGAAAAGGAACTAATTTAAAGAATTTGAGAGTAAAGACGGAAGACATATAACACCAGCAGAGGGCAGTGCAACACAATAAATGGCCGAAAAGGAAGGAGAAGAAGATCTCAAACATCTTTTTGCGAACATTTAAAATACTTCTAGCACGCGGATAGCTTTAAAATCGCTTATAGTGTATTGAGAACCAAACAAAAGAACCAAACAAGAACACCAGCTCCTCATCTCAGGTAAGTATTGCTAAAGCTAATGAAAAAGCACAAAGGGTTTTCTGATAGCTGTTAAATCTATATTATTTTTGCAAGTGTTTTCATCGTTAGAACTAAGAATTTAGATTATTTCCCTTTACTAAAACAGCAGTATGGAGATATTGAAAGTATATATGTCATAATATTCAGAAGATTGTGTAAGAAAAGCATAAGAATGGGGATGATTTTAAAGGAAATTAAGGTATTTCTACAATTACGGGCTTGCAAACTTTGGAAACTTTTTTTTAAAATGGAATTTATTATATACTACACTAAAAATTCCTAGGATCTACTAAATGTAAGTGGTTTTAAACTATTAATTTTGGCTGAATGTAAACAAACATATTAAGTTGAACATTACTAAATTAATAGATTAATTACATTTAACACATGGATTGTTTGCAACCCTTTTGAAGGCTTTTTCTTAAGTGTACATTTAACAAGAAAAGCATAAGAGTGTGGATTTTAAAGGAAATTGAGATTTCTACAAGTAGAGACTTGCAAACATTTTTGAGCAGAATTGGGGAAAGATATACATTCAACATTTCAAAATCTGCTTTTTAAGGTGTTTCACATGGGTTTTTAAACCACAAGTTGCTCATGAAGCCAACAGAAACCATTGTTCAGAGGTTATTTATATCAGAATACATTAATTCAGAAATATTTTCAGAATATAAACTGGTCTGAAGTGCTGTACAATGTACAACACGTTTATTTAAGATCTACAAAAGCCAAAGAGTATACAATGATAGGAAAGTCTAGATGTATGATTATTGGGTAAAAATAGCATCATGGTACAGGTAAAAGAAGGTATCCCAAATATCTGTGTGCCCAAATGGACAATATGGCACAACAGATTGGGAGGTATAACTTGGTGCTCGACCAAAAAATGCCTTAAACTAAACAAAATCTAAAAAACAAAAACAAAAAAAACCTTAAAAAAAATCAACCTAAAACTTAAATGGATCCAGAGAGTGTTTGCAGCAGTTTTCTGAACTGCTTGCAATGAAGACGGAAGAAGAGCAATACTCCAATCAAGATGGAAGAAGACCTCCATATCCATAAATCTAAAAAAAAAAAAAAAAACTCTTAAAAACAGCGCTGCAAAAACTAAACAAGAGTTACAAAAAAAAAGGTTTTGATTGCTGGATTTAACAGAGCTTCTAAATCACAAAAAGCACAACCTAATCATTTAATCTTGAATTAAATGTTTCAAAGATGCTGTATTCAAAAAAATCCAGGGTAAACATATAAAGGGAAACCCTCCCAATATGGATCCCTGGGGCACTCCGCACAAGACGGGTGCAATTTTTTGAATTTTTTTTTTTTTCTTTCCTTAAAAAGTCCTGTCCTCAACATGCTTTAATGCAATGCCTTAACATTCTAATACTGATGAAGAAGAATGCAATGGTCCAACAATGCCAATACAAAG